TTTGCCGTGAGTTTAGTTTGTTTTGCCGTGAGTTTAGTTTGTTTTGCCGTGAGTTTAGTTTGTTTTGCCGTGAGTTTAGTTTGTTTTGCCGTGAGACTTGTGGGCCACCGTAAAATTTTAGTTATCTAAATATCTTAACTTTGTGGGCCTAAAAGTATCTCTAATAAAAGTGTATTATCATATAATTATCCATAAAATACCTATATTTCTCCTTTTCGAAAAACTGATATTTTCACATGTGAAAACAACATGTTATTTTCACATGTGAAAATATCGTTACCATGTGTATTTAATCTATTAGTTTATGAATAAAAACGTTTTATAATAATAAAAAGCTTATTAAGTTGATTTTATGGATAATTATATAATAAACAGAATATTACATGGGCTCTTGGAGATATGAAATTTATCTTCTCGTGTTGAAAATCTCTCACTCGTTCGCTGCGCTCACTTGTGAGAGATTTTCAACACGAGATGATAAATTTCGTATCTCCAAGAGCCCATTTAATATCCTCTATTTAATACCTCAATGGCGATCAATTCATATATTTAATAATCTTTATGGATAAAAGAAATGAAACATATTGAAAATTCTTCTCTTTTGAGATATGCATCAATGGGGACATAGTTATGAATATTTTTCATGTTTTTGCGTTTTTTCGAAACTAGGTATTTCTATATATGTAAAAGTGTAGCTACAACGTTTTTGCAATCGCACAAGATGCATTAAAAAATATTCAAATATACTTTTCCATACTGCTGGTTTTCAATCATTCCCAGGGGAGTAAAATAACAAAAAACACGGCGGCCATGATGGTTGATATAACAAAATAATTCATTGACAATTCTTTTGTTAAATTCAACCAAGATGGCGGCTCTGACGTCATGTGCAAACGAAGAGTAGTACCTAAAGGTATACTTTCGATGCACCCTTTTAATTAGAGTTTAATATTGCATACCTTCTGCCCTGGAATACCTTGATCACCTCTTTCACCATTTGCTCCAACAGGTCCCTTAAAGAAACAAAATACAATTTGAGGCTTCGGCACATTGAAAGCATTTTTAATAGCAGGTATTAAGAGTTTCACGCAAAAATTACTAGTCAACACTCCAGTTGAAATACTATGGTTAAGAAAGAAGGCTGTCATACCTGGTTTCCAATTGGGCCGCGTCTTCCTGTGTGTCCTTCTGCACCAGGATCTCCCTATAGTGGTAACAATTCAACAGATGAAAACGTAATCGTTCATGTAGTAAGGCATAATGATAAACGATATACGGGTCTACCAAATTTTAGGTTCCTAGAATATTGGATATGATATAGTAGTAGTAGTAGTAGTAGTAGTAGTAGTAGTAGTAGTAGTAGTAGTAGTAGTAGTAGTAGTAGTAGTA